CAATACCATAAGAAGATTGAAACGTTGGCCAGCCCCTCAGTAACTTTTGATACTTGGTTTTCGTTCATGCAAAATGTCGAAACCTCCTTGTTAAGATCGTAGCGCTGCAGGGGCGGGGCACCACATTTATTTTGCTTGAAGCTTGAAAAAGCTCCAACGATGACCGCAATCGGCTTGCATGTTTCAATGTATGTAGTCAATTACCCCGTTTCATGGGAGCAGCCAGGGCCCTGACAAGGGGAAGGGGGCACAGGGTTGACAAAAGGCCCCCCAAAAACGCTACATATGGCAAATTTGTTATTGAGCGCATTTCCCCTTACATATATATATATATATATATATATATATATATATATATATATATATATATATATATATTTGGTTTATTTCCTTACACTTAGTTTATTTTCCTTTATATATATATATATATATATATATATATATATATAAGGGGAAATAAACATAAGGAAAAAACACGCGCTCCGGTGGGGGTCAAATTGACTCCTTGGAAGGTTTTTCCAGAACAGTTCCCAAACGGCGTGGCATAGCCGTGCCATATTTTGCATACCTGTACACAATTGAATAGCGGATCGTTTCATATACGAAATTTAGATGCACCTTGTAAGGTCGCTCACCTATGGCAGGTCAAAGTCGGACCATGTTTTCAGCGAAGACAATTTCTAGGGAATCGTTCAATCTGGCGGAACAACGGAGTGTTTGACGCAGCTTTACATCTATGAGATGCTTTCTTAGGCAACACAAATATCGAATGAGCAAATACGTTGACCAAAGCCCAGGTATGAGGGTCAGACCAAGGTCAAAACCAACCTGTTTTTTTACTCTAGGGATTTCTGTATGGGATGGCTTCTGATGCTCATTTCGAATTTATTGATAGCAGGAACCGCATTATACATCTTCCAATGACTTGTCAGGGGTCAGAATGGGTCGTCGACCTAAAATGACCCAGGTCGACATTTTGTTTTTAGGAATATACTGCCTACTATAATCTTTGTCGCTTATTCAGATGCAAAACCCGGAGCAGTCTCGTATTATTTTGGTCACCATGACCTTCAAAAGGTTGAAAACGTCACTGGCCTTAAATGAGCTTGTGACCTTTTTCTTAGAACCAGTTATCTAGATTCTGGGGGCACTTTGGAGACCAACCTGGAATTGACCTTGTTTGACCTTATTCGACCTGAAGATCCTGATCTAGGAACCTTAAACTTGATCGAAGTGAGTTCACGTACAGGTTAACACATCGTGCAAATTTGGTGTCTCTAGCTTTCTTAGTTCCCGAGATCTCGGGGGGGGATCAAACTGACCCCTACCCGAGCGAAGGGTATCTAGCCGGTCACCCGGGCGCGTATTGATTGCCTGACCCTGTATCCTCACTTGCCGGGTCAATCTGATCGCTAAGGAGCTTTTCACGTTGCCCTTGATCTCTGCATTTTTTTCGTAGGGCCCAGTGTGCTGTTGGGACGCTATTTACCTCCATGCCTGAGCACTGTTAATCGGTCAGGTTTTCCTCTACGGATTTTTCTCATCTGCTTGAAAGCCTCTACACAATTTTTTCCGGGGCCCCATATACCTGGGTACACTCAGCTGCTCAGAGGCCCTCCATATAAGTTTCGGGTTATTTCAATTTGCTTGGAGGACCTTGTGCTGTTGCTAGGGCTCTTATAAGGTAGTGCATGGAGACATGGAAGGCGCAGGGGCCGCTTACTTTAATCAATTTGATTGAGGGCTCTTTCCCTTTGGTCTCATTAGCGGAAGACTTCACTCCTATCGAGGCTCGTGTCGTTAACCTGCCCCTGGACTCTTGATCACACATGGGTATTAATTTATGGCCTTAGATAATTCCCCTTTGCTCGGAGGGTCCTGTATTATGGCCGGGGCCTTATATGTCAGCCTGCCGGGGCACCACCGGTCGTTTAGGGGCACGCCACGTTGGCCCTGGCTTCTTTTTGCATGCTCTGAGGACCCTATACTTGTTGACGAGAGCCACTTTGTTGTCCTCCTGCGGCACCTATGATCGTTCAGTTTCGGTCCCTATTGGCCTCGGTGCCTTCGCCTTAGAGCAGCAGTTGAATATGCGTCGATGAATTTTTACGCGCGATTGCCGAACGTAATTTACATGCCGCCGACGTCGTATAGGTCCTTTCGATTGACTATTCAGTGTGCGACACTTGTTATACACATGCATCATGTTCTTAAGATGTTTTGAACGCTAGGATATGCTGTACTTGTTTATAACAAAGGAACAATTATGCATTAGTCATTAGCCATCAGCTGATTACATCGCCCAGCCGTCAAGCCGTAAATACAAAAGCTAGCAATCAAGCCCATGCTTGGTTTTGATGTTGTTTGCAGCCAACTCAAGTCTATTTTGCCTGTTGTTCCGAAACGCATATCCTCAAAATCACAGCCTTTAAAATGATCTGTAGAAAATTAGTGAGCTTTTTGTGTATACATGCGTGGCACGCCTATGCTTTATAGGGCTGTGCACAGTGACATGGTTTTAAATATATTTTTTAAAGAAAAGAAGTAAATGCATACATGCATGCATATGCATATGCATATATATATATATATATATATATATATATATATATATATATATTTATATACATATTTGCATACATATGCATATATGCATATGTGTATATATATATATATATACATATCCATAATATTACATACCTGTCTTAAAATGTAAAGAACGAAATGCAACAATTTTTTGGAGAGGCCCCAAAACCAGGGGCTCCACATTGTTGCGTGCCCTCCCCCCTTGACAAAATCCTGCATCCGCCCTTGATGGGATAAACAGCATTTTGATATTGCAACAAATGTTTGGCACGCAACCATATCTAAAGAGCGACTTTAGTCACTTACAATGCCGCCGCTCCATTCATCTTCGTATCTGCTACTGCCTGCTATCTGCTGCCTGAGCGCGTGTTCGCTTTCAATTGTGGTTCAGTACGCCGTTTTCGTCGCACTTGCGCTAGAAATGCAAACATAACGCAAAAATCGCGCGTTTTCAGGCTAACGCGCTGGGCGCTAACCGTAACTTTACGCTCAGTTTTGTGACTGGCTGATGTAAACATGTCGGATTATCGTCGCTTTCGCGAACGATTCGAATCGTTTACACTTGTCGTTCACCGACTCATGTAAACTGGCTGTAAACATGTAGCTGGATGACGTCCACCTGATGTGCTGGATGAATAAGACACCTCCACTCTCCGCACCACCGACACCTTCGCAGCGGGTTAAAGGCTCCAAGGGTCGTGCGCGACCGCCTGCACGGCGTGAGACACACTTTGATCTGTTTCAGTGACAATCAACGCAAGACGCTGCTGGAGATGGGCTACTCCCAGAGTCAGCAGCCAATAGTGGAGCCGGTTTTGGGCGAGCTGGACCACACAGAAGCCCCTGCTGAGGCTCCTTTGATAGCGTGATGACGATGCTCCTGCCACCTGCTCACAGAGCCGGCAGTCTGCACGGGGTCGACGTCTGTTGTCATTGTCATGGTAACGATTGAGTGCTGGTGACCTAGCGCCCAGACTCTGCTGAGGGTGATGGCTTCTCGCTGAGCCCGGTGACAGGACCTGTCTGAGCGCCAGATTAAAGCAGTCGATGGCTTCAAGTATGCTTCAGCTGCCAAGTGCCTCCGCGGAGCCTCAAATTGCACCCGATGCACGATGGTGCACAGGACGCTCGAAAACTGCGAACGAATTCTAGCCGACCGAATCCAATTTTGTGTAGCTGATCACTCGTAGACAGCTGAATAAAGTATTTTGGAGCACAAATAGATGTGGTTCGAAGCATATTGCGAGTGAAAAGGTGACAACCACTTTTCTGTTGGGCAGGACGGAGTCCTCAAAGACGCTTCCTCCTGCTCGAGAACTCAGCGAAAGCACTCTTGCTTTTTATGTAAGAAATTAGATAGAGATTCGTCTGAAAAAGTAAAGTTGGGAATGTCAGTGTTGGCACCGGAATGCACGCGCCTTTAGCCCAGCGGAGCCACTCGTCGTTAGGTTTCGTTGACCTGATGTGTCATGTGCATGCTCCGATGGTTCCTGTCTGGTTTTGCGTTATTGGTGGCTTGGCAACGCACAGTGTATGCTATCTCACGGATGTGCGAAACTGCAACGAGCAAGTTTTGCCTAAATGTGTCTTGCTCTAAGAGCATGCCGAGCGACCCAGTAGTCACGGCCGAGTGTACATTATCAGGCTTCCGTCGTTTTGCTTCCGGGAACAATATATGGTCGAACGCATCGGCTTCGGAACCACTTCCAGCATTGCGTCGTTTCTGTACCTCGTCACTTGTCTGCCAAGGCTTCGGTGCGCGGGTATGCTGTGTCTGAATTGGCCCCACCGTTTTCCTCCGGCAGTCATTCGCACATACTCATTGGCGGTCATTCGCACATTCTCCGGGGCGTCCGTCTCGTTCCGTTACCCGGAGATGTCTGCTTGAGATGTCCACCGGTGATTATCCTTACACCGCTTCACCGGCAAGACGCGGCACCTTAAGCTGTCGATGATAACACTCCCGCCAGTTATCCACGCATGCACTCCATTGCGGTATCACACCATGCGTCATATTATGGACGTGACGGGGTTGTCATGTTGTTAGATCTCGTAATCTGGCAATCCGATGGTCGTTCCGCGCGCGTGGCGGGTAGTTGCTGGGACACTGCTTCTTGCTCCTTCCCTACAGGCATGGGCGCTTTCCTGACACTGTCAACCAAGTGCCAACAATGCTGGTTAAACTGCAACATGAACTTGCTCCGTTCCAGGCGTACACCGACATTGAAATCCATGCGCATATACCGAGTTTAGCCACATGGCATGCCATCAAGAGGCGTTTCCATGACGACGTAGCACGTGGAAACCGCTGAATCGTAGTGCCAGCCGAAAAGACCTGGCATCGAACAGCAGACGTTGGCTTGAATGTCCCATCTGCGATCTGCAAGTCTGGAGATTTGTGTGGAAATATTGGACACGTAGCACAGGGATGCGTATATTGTCATCTATACGATACAATAGCATACGTTTTACCGTATTTTGATACATAGTCATCACATGATTGCATTGACATGCAAGAGATGCAACGTAGCACCCTCACTGATACCAATGTCACGCACAAACGCCCAAATGCGACTCGAGAATTCAAGAATACTTGACGATCACTGTTAAGTTGCGCGCCACGTGCACACATCTGCGTTTGCAATGGTGACCAACTCACACATGAATATGAGCCGGCTTCACGCAACACAGATTCGAGCGACACGTGACTATCAGATCATCACGGGACGGTTACCGGGCCGCATCACGTGGCCGCCCCCTGGGTAGCGCCCCGCCCTCGGCACCGTCCCAGACGCGGCCTCCGCCTAGTGGCGGCCCGGCGCACTATAACTTCATCTCCCACAGCACCAGGTGGGCGTCGTGTGAGTTGGCCGCCCGGCTGCCCGGGCTCCGGCGGTCGGCCCGCCCCCAGTTGACGTAGCCACGGCCGGCCATGACCGTGAGCACGCTGCGCGCCGGCTCCTCCTTGCGCCGGCCGGTCGGCTCCGGGCTGCGGAACGAGTGCACGCGCGAGGCCGGCGCCGAGTGGGCGCGGTCGCCCTCGGACGAGGAGCTCGTCGTGTGCACCGACGAGCGAGAGTCCACCGACCAGCTGGAGAGGTCCAGAGAGCGCGGCCGGCCGGCGCGCAGCTGCAGCCGCCGGTCCAGCGTGGCCATCTTGTGCGGCAGGCCGGCCAGCTCCGGGTCGCTGCGGCGCACATGCTCGCTGAGCTCGCCCAGCTCGCGCGACTCGTCAAAGCCGTGCAGGTTCAGCAGGTTGCCGTACAGGCCGTACACGTCGTCGCACACGCTGCCGCTGGCCGAGAGGAGACTCATGCCGCGCGGCAGCGTCTTGGAAAGCCGACGCGTCATGTTGTCGCGGTCGCGCGAGCGCTTGCGCAGCAGCGACGGACTGCTGAAACGCGGCTGGATGCGCACGCTCTTCTTGGAGTCGCTCAGGCTGGTGTCGGAGCGCCGCTTGGCCAGGCGGCCAGCCGCCTCAGCGGGCGCCTCCTCGTGGATGACACTCTCGCGCGGCGCGGCCGGCGCCAGCGCGCGCGCCGCCGGCGCGCTCAGCACCTGCAGGTAGGTGACGGCGCCGCAGTGCGCGTGGTACGAGATGTTGCCGCGGCCCGAGATGATGGGCACGCCCTCCAGCCGCGGCAGCGGGATGGTAAGCGTGACGCCGACGCTGGTGCCGACCCAGAGCAGGCCGCGGCCGGCCACCAGCGCCGTGACGGCCACAGAGCCGCGCACGCCGTCGCCCATGACGCGCGAGATGTTGGACGCCACGTTGATGTCCTGCAGGTGGCGGAAGGTCTCCGTGTGGTAGAGACAGATGGTGGAGCTGTGCGCCAGCGAGATCCACAGGCCGATGCCGCTGTGGGCCAGCAGGTGCACGTCGCCGGACGACTCGTGCTCCTGCACCGTGAAGCTCTTCTGCCGGACAGAGACATTACGTCGCAAATCAACGTCGCGTTAATGAGTGGCACCCTAACACTGGACGCGCACACGCTCGAGCGCGGCTCAGGTGCACAGGGATACGTGACCGTCTCAGTGAGCATGCAGCTAAGGTGTGCATAATACATGACCGTCGGGGTCACGGGTTCGAAACCCATTACCAGTTGCTTTTCCTTGAAAACATCACCGCGGCGGGGTGTGGTGCTGATAACTTTACCCGTTGCGTGGGAGGAAAAGCAAACGAATTAATACTCTTCAAATAAGGGTAGGTGGATAAAGACAACACCGTTAGGAAAAACCAAATACTTTCGGTGATGCCCAATAATTTAAGCACAGCTTGAGAACAGATCGCTCCCATTTGCAGCACTCTCTGACGGAATGGGCAAAATACACGCAACCGAAAGATCAACCCTATAACCGGGAAACAGACAGAGACGCTGTCAGCACCAGGCGTCAGACATCACGCAGCCCCTACCCGGGCATCGTCCCCCTTCTAGTCCCGCCTCTTTTCGTCGGTCGGACGGCTCTGGCGCCTCGGCCGGTGACGTACCGTGACGTCACGCGTGACGGCGTCGATGACGGACACGCGGCGGCCGCAGCCGGCGTACACGGCGCCGCCGATGGGCAGCAGGCAGGAGACGGGCCGTTCGCCGAGCGGCAGCAGGGCTGGCGGCCCAGGCTGCCAGCCGCCGTCCGCACCGTGCTCCAACACGGCCACGGCGCCGTTCTCGAGCGCGGCGAACACGGCGCCGCCGAGCGCCACCAGCCGGCGCGCCGGCGACGGTAGCGGCGCGGCGCCCGTCTGCTGACACCGCTCCGGCTCCTGCGCCGAGTACAGCAGCACCCTGCAGGAATAAAGAGGCATTGAACACGTCAGCACACTGTCGGGGCAGTGACCGTCAGAGACCGCCTAAATGAAGAGACATCAAACACGTCAGCAGACTGTCGGAGCAGTGACCGTCAGTGACTGCCCAAATGACGAGACATCGGACACATCAGCAGACTGCCGGGGCAGTGCAGTCCCGCAGCAGTGACCGTCCCGCCGACGAAAGCCCATGTGGCGAAGTGCGTGGCAGGCGTAGTTAGCATGCGACGGAGGTAACGGGGTGAACGGGCCCGCCGCAGCACGGGCGATCAATAGTTCGACAGATGGCCGGGTATTCTGGACGCCAGCGTCCGGCGGCCACAAAACCAGGGGCTTTAGAGGCCCCATGAAGGTCACCAGGGGATCAGAACGCGGACCACATAAATCATGCGAAGAAAACACGCTGTGACTACGAACGAATCAGTGATTTGTTTTTCAGTTTTTGGTTGAGATCGGCTTAATATTTGGACCGCAGACATAACTCACGGGAGCGTGTTTAACTTCGCTGCAAGTCGTTAGAGATCATCCTAGTCTTACTGCAAAAACTGCAATAAGACAAATGTCTTTGTGGCTTTGGTTATACGAGCAGCACGTACGAGATTTGCAAGAACATAAGAACGTGAGTATGGCTGGCCTGGCGTGTGATGTGATTCTGCGTTCGAGAACATGGCGACGTATCCCAACTAAAACTGACAAACTGTCCCACGTCAGGTTTCTGACGGAATAAGCGTGTCAGTGTTGCTAAAACATGTAACGATGTCCCATAGCTACCATATTTGTGCATCATTACATCACCGCAGTGGAGCCTCTGTTATTACATAACAACTAGCTTTGGTCCAGTAGTACCACAATATTTTTGATGTCACAGTGAACACTTCATCATGCACCGCAGCCCATCAGTCGGCAGTGACGAGGCCCTACCCCGATGTTCATGAGTGCTGTTTTAAATAAAACTAGTCCTAGCATTTTGATCGCATGGCTTTCTGGTCCCTGAGTTTACGCTAAGCAGTGCTTGCTGAGTAAGCCCCGACCCCACCATCTGATCGTAAAATGCCAGTCCAACAGCAAAACTTATGGCGAAAGATTAGCGTGCCGCAATGCTTAGCACGGTGCACCGCGCCCTCTGATCTCATCCGACCTTGAGTGTACGCTGTCACCCACCGCCGGCCAGCACAGCCAGGGTCAAACAGAGAGCGTCGAGGCGGCCTGAACACACCTATCCCACCACCTATACCCACCTATGGGGAGGGCGGGCCGCAGGCACTCTTTGACGGATCGAGCTACGGGGCGGACTGGCGTGAATGACTGGGCTAAACGGATTGAGCCTCCCAACAGGTTTTCAACTTAATTATCTTGTTGAACGATGGGACCATGCCTGCAAAAAGGAGGCTTCCCAACCCCGGTAAGGAAAAAACATCTAAGCGAATGACGAAGAGTGTTGCCCACTGTCCACAGCCGCGGCGGCTGCCCGGCTCGACCGACTACAGGTCGGGACGTACCTGCCGGCGGTCGTGCTGAGCCAGACGGCACCCGAGCGGCAGCCGGCCTCGGTCGGCTCCCCCGGCACAAACTGCATGGCCGTGACCCGCTCGGCCGGCAGCTCGAACCGCAGCACATCTCGGAAGCCCACCTGGCGGCGAGGAGGCGAAACACCGTCAGCGGTCGGCGCGGGTGGCCAGGCCGCGGCCGAACGACAGGCCGGGCGGAAGAGCGGCCGGAGGAGCAGGTGTTAGGCGCGTGATCGGGAACGGGGCAGCGGCACGCTCGGCGGGAGACAGGGAGCTGTAGCGGGTGTGGCAGGGGCATCGGCCGGCGTACACAGCGCCAGTGGGCGAGCGAGCTTGACTACGCCAGGCGAAAATATTGTGACCTTCGACGGGCTTTTGCGCAAACATACAGTCTTGTTTGTATACTCCTGAATAAACGCGGCTAACAGCAGGTGATCAGGAAATGGGCCACCCTGCACGGCAGACGGCTTGAACTGTCGGAATTCCTGCAGATTCCAGCCGCACCGAATATTTACGCCCGACGGTCAAAACAAAACTCCGTGCTTTCAAACAGCAATCTTTCTCGCCGCCGCCGGCAGCGTAAACTGGCCTTCAACCCACCTGCTGCATGGCGTAGATGATGACGAAGCTGTTGACACCATCGGTGGTGCAGATCCAGAGGTAGCTCTGCTCGCGCGTGCGCTGGGTGGGCTTGACGATGGTGACGCTGTAGAAGCAGCCGCACTGTACCTCAGTGTCGGTGCCAGCGGGCACTGGCGAAACCACCGGCATCGTCTTGACGAAGAGTGGCACCCTGGTGATGGGCCGCTGCTCCCGCTCCGGCACGTCCCAGGCCCGAGAGTTGTTCTCTGAAGGGTCGCGAGGGCGAGGGACGAGGTCAGAGGTCAAGTGGTCACTCCGCGCCGAGCAGTGTCCCGGCACGACACTCTGGCCGAGATCGTGAGATGCGTAGCAGTGGAGCAACAGCCGGAACACACTTGACGAAAACTTCCTGAAGAAAAACCGCAAACGGGAAACCACAAACCTGTTTACCATAACGACTTGAGACACAAGGGACGGGCGGCTGCAGCCCGCAGCCAGCAACCAGACAGCCACGGTGGCTGTCAGTGACCCGGCACCCACCGTCGAGAGCGAGCTGGGCCAGCCGGAAGTCGGTGGTCCACTCGCGCTTCTTGGCGGGCGACTCGAGCTGGAAGGTGAAGTGCTCCTCGCGGCCGGCCCGCCGCACCGCCAGCTGCAGACAGCAGGCGTCCAGCCAGGCGATCTCCTCGTCCTTCTGCCGGATCGAGCGCTGGATGGAGGCGGCTATCTGCGCCGTCAGCGCCGTCGTCAGGCCCTGCCGCCAGAGGTGAGCGTCACCGACGTTCAGACGCACCGGCGTCAGAGGCAGCGCGCCTCGACGGCGGGGGCGCAGGGTAACGGCCCGGCGCCGAGGCGCAGCGGCAGCACGGCACGACCAACAGCTGAGAGACAATGTGACAACGTGAGAGCGAGTGAGCCGGTAACGGTACTCGGCGAAAACTCGGCCTTGGAGTGCCGATCGGTGAAACGGCGGCTTATTCACCAGATCCTCGCCCACTCCGCGCTGCTCACCGGGTACTCGCCCTTGAGCGTGTCGACAAGCGAGCCGATGCGCGACACCACTTCGTAGTCGTGCATCAGGTTGCTCATCTTGTGGCAGAGCTGGCCGACGTTGGTGAGCGCGCCGGCAGCAGCCTCGTCGGCGGGGCGCGCGCCGCCCGGTGGCCGCGTCGTAGCCGTGATCACGTGGCTCAGCGTCAGCGAGGTGCTGGCCTCCTGGATCTCGACGTCCGTCACCGGCACCGACCACTTGAGCGTGAGTCGCTCGGCGGCGGCCGTCTCGTCGGCCGGCTTTCCCGCCACGCTGACGCACACCACCAGGTCGTTGAGCAGGAAGAGGCGCCGGCTCTTGGACTTGCTGATGGAGCCGTTGGTGCCGAACTCGAGCCGCGTGGCGTTGTCCTCGCGCAGCAGGTAGCGGTTCGTGTCGGCCAGAGAGCGCATCGAGAACTTGCCGTTCAGACGTCGAAGCGTCTCGCGGAAGGCCTGCCAGGGGGGGGGGGGGGGCGCCGATCACATGCCTTGTCCTCTACGTAAAAATCACGTTTGGAAGCCACGTCCCCTAATACTCATAATGAAATCTCATTTAGCATCTCTCGGGTCAGGGTGAAATACGAAAACCTAATGGATAACGGAAGAGAAAACCGTTGAATATCTCAATACTTGGTGTTGCACATCAGGGACGCACACACGACACACCTGAATGAGATGTGTTGAATGACAGGGTCTGAAAACAAAGCCCACAAATACTTACGCAAAAACCTCGTCGCCATTTACTATCACCAGAATCCCTGTCCATCCCTGGCCTGGCCTGGCCTGGCCATCAGATCAAATCCCTGGCCATCAGCCAGGGATTGCACCGTCCATGCAAGGGACAACACAACTACAAAGGGCGTAAAAGAGTGAGAGCCAAAGGTGAGACCCATGAGATGAACACACCTCACACATAAGCAAACAGCGCGCATCAGTCTCGCGGACACACCTTGAACTGTTCCGATTCGCGCTTCCTCTCGTTGAGCATCTCTGCCAGCGACTCAAGCTGCGTCAGCGCCAGCTGCAGCGACATCCTGTCGTGGTGACCCTGAGGAGTGTGCTTCAGCAGATCCTGAGCAGAACAAACAGGCACCGCGTTAGTCAACACACGCGCCGAGCTGAGGTGGCGCGTGGGATCGCCGCGTCTTTCCGGATGAGCACAGGCCAGGTGGTCGGTGAGCAGCTGCTGTTCGCACCCGGCGTCTGACCTCAAGCGTCAGACGCAGGTGGTGCGTTCGAACGAAAATAATGCCGCCGAGAAATAAAAAATGTTGAAATGAACGCCACCACGACCACGAGGGCACGACGCTTCCAAGACAAGGCAGACTGACAGGACAGCTCCTGGACGGCGCTTACCTGCAGAAGCAGAATGAACTGCGGAAACCTCTGCACCGGCTTCACCATCAGGCCGAACAGCGACAGCCGGTCCAGTGAGCTGATCTGCCGCATCTTCAAGAAGTCGGCGAACGCGCTCTTCCGTTTCGCTTCGTGCTTGATGGTCTCCATGGAGACGGAGAAGTTGTTGATGAAATCGGAGTAGATGTCCAGCACGATGGCCTTGGAGAAGGACGCGACAAACACGTCGCCGATGCGCTCTTCGGCGTCCCACTGGCGGACAGCCTCGGCCAGAGCGATCCGGAACAGCGTGTGACACTGCAGGATCTCGGGCACGCGTTTGAAGATGACAGATATCTTGGCAGAGTTCAGCACCGGCGGGTGCGCCTCCTCCATCACCTTCTTGTAATCCTGGCAACGGCGGTGTGGCTGAGTCAGAGGGGAAGGGCAGCCGTGCTCCGGAATGTGGGGTGTTTCGTAAACGAGACGCGCTCTGCAATCGTCTCTCCGAGGCAGGGGAGGTCTAAAGTTGGCTAAAAATACAGGGAGCTCCAGCCGCCTGCTCGTGCGTCGCTCAGCTCTGGCGCTATTGAGTGTACGCGACGGAGTGTTATTACATTCCCGTAACATAATTACGAAGCAGCTCGCAAATCTACCGAACCATGGTGCATTACACTGGAGCCAGCCTAGCCGGATGTGCGACTTACGTCAGTGACAGCAGCCACCTCCTTTCATTAACCAGTCCCTATTTCACTATATTTCACTACATTATCACCATATAAGCCCTTCCCACGTCACCTGAGAGCACTCACATTGACTAGACTTTGCAATGAGGCGACATAGTTGTTCTCGCTGTGTACGACGCTCTGCACGATGTGGCGCCGCTTGACCTGCTCGGAGGTCAGCCCCGCGGGCGCTGGCGGCAACGACGGAGGCTGGTGGCGCCGGTGGAACAGCAGCTCAGCAGCTTCGACGTCCTCGTTGACCTGAGGTCAAGTCAGCGTGTCAGCGTGGTATTTTGCTGCCCCACTGATGATCCAGCGCACCGGACCGGCCACATGATTCAATTATTAACAGTTCGTGCCCAAGGACGTAAAAGCATGCGCTTGCTAGGCATGGGGCTCTGTCGTCCGTGTGGAAAAGAGACAAATTGGCTTGTTTGCTGGTCTGTTAATAACGCATCACTGAGCGGTAGCTTCTTGCGTGGCCCTCGCAGTGATGGAAATATTGCTATGATTAAAACCCCTTGTTAGAGCCTTCACCCCGTGACATTGCAAGGAGGGATAGGGCAGCAGTCAACGATGCCTAGGGCTCGCCACAAAGCAATACTCGTACGGCGCGTGAAAACCGCGCGAGTTCACGTCCTTGCATCCTGATATCCGTTCTGTGCAGAAATAACTGTGTACGTTATTACATTCTACCGAACCGTGGTGCATTACACTGGGTCCGTCCGCACGGGTCCGCCTGCATCATGCCACATACACAGACACCGACAGGTATCGTGTTCAAAATTTTGCGGGATAAGGTTGCGTCAAAACATAGTGAACATATCGGATGGCTGGCTGTGACTGTTTGATGTGGGTGCGACCAAACACGTTTGATATATCTGGTGCCGGGGCTGTAGCTCAGATCCAATATGCGCATCCCAGATGTGCAGTTGCAAAGGCACTGCCCGCGCGATCTCCCTCCGATGTCAGCGTAAGGACATCAGAACAAGCTCACAAGGATCAGCTGGGAGGCGCTCACCGAGGACATTTTGGTGAGTGAGCGCGTCCTCTCTGAGATGTCGTAGTGGCTAGACTTCCTGAGCGAGAACCAGCGGCTCAGGCGTCCTTCGCCCTCGTCCGAGTCGCGCCGCGAGGAGGGGCGCTTCTCCAGCGAGCTCTTGCGCTCGACGGCCGCCGCCGCCGGCTCCGAGTGGGCCGTCCCATTCTTCTTCGGCTTCTGCGAACTCCGCTTCCGCCGCAGAAGGTGTTTGATTGCGCCGAAGCTGAAACAAGATGGCGGCACCGCGTCAGCAGGTCGAGCGGCAGCCGCCCTTCGCTAGGCACAGAGATCAGAGGGGAAATTGGACTGAATGATAAGGGTTCGGCCTCTCGTTGATCGCGCTCAGAAGCTGACAAACGCCAGGGTCAGGCTTTGCAGGATCAAGGTCAACTGGATGTGCCGGCCATCTAAATCGTATTTTCGTAGGTTGTTCAGTGCATTAGCGAGGAACGTTATTCACCTAGATTACAGCTATTACAGCTATCACAGTAGTAATAGCCTTATTCCCCAAAAAAGACAAGAGAATGGAGATGTGGTTAGGTTGACATTTCGGGAACATGTCTGTCGAAACAGTGGTAGAAGTTATACCCAACCCAACTATATTTCCATTCTGCTTTGACTCCGAGGAATTTCTCCGGGGAGTTTCTCCGAGAAAGACTATTACTACCGTCAAATCGCAATTTCACCTGACATGAACTTCCTGAAACTGCCACGGCACATTAAGATTTGAGGTTCAGAGTTAAGCTTCGACATATTGCTGCTATTTATAGGCACCATACAATGTATCCAATCCTGAAATGGAGGCACCAGGCCGGGCGCCATCTGCAACCCCAAAATGCAGAAACTTTCAACAATGGCTGTGATGTCATGTGCCAGAGACGATATGTCCTGCCCCCGCTGTACATTAGAGAGATGTTCAATTGGGCCCTGTCGAGGACGTTTTTGCAAGATTTCCCTTATTCAACGTCGGCAATCGCGGTTATTCAACGCGGCGAAATCACCGCGTAGCGCCTTACTAAAGCACTGGCCAGGAGCGCAAATTTGCGCACCGGGCGCGTCTCTGCGCTGTTCATTACGCAGCTAAGAAAACTGCTGTTCTCTGACCTCGTGCTTCCTGAGCCTAGAAGCTGCGGTAACGCGGAGTGGAGTGGGGGGGGGGGGGGGCGGACTGACCGCCCCCAATTTTATCGCTAAAATGTTTGATGACGCAAGAGGGCAAGACGGCAGGACGATTCGCACCAAACATTGCGGCGCTTTCGCCGCAAACTTCTGCCGCTGGCCCGACTTTCCACCATCGGATGGCGCAGTCACGGCTCACGCCAACATCACTGCTCCACGTGGGAGCTGATCCCACATATCGGTCTGATCTAAAAACTCGTACCATGGTCTTAAACAATTAATCAAAGACCATTTTGACTGAAAAGAAATACTTAAACATGGCTCCTCCCTCAACTCGGGAGAACATACGTTACCCCTGTGTGTACAGCGGCCGACCTAGGGCCACACCTGTTTCAGTGAGGCAAGCATGCCGTTTACGAAGCATTTCACATTCCGGGGCTCAGATGCCTTTCCTGCCGACTTATTTGTCCCTCTGATTTGCTTGCCGCTAATGAGCTTAAGAGTTCAATGCGGCGTAAAATACCGCCAGGCTTCGCATTGCACTCATGGTCAGCAATTCCTAAGAATTGGTCATACCGCGGCGGCATATATCATAGGCTCTAGGCGACCGTCACGATGAAAACCGAACTTTAGATTGATAGATTCACCGATAAGGCTCTACGTCTAGCCATCATCTCTTGTATGCATATACCGCATGACATGCTTGACGACGAATGAAACCAACCCTAGCACCATTCGCCCACGCCCGAACCCCATAACGTCAACAGACTAGTCTGTCTAGTCTATGCAGATTTCTATGTCTAGTCTATGCAGATGTCTATGTCTAGTCTATACAGACTAGTCTGTAGCCTAGTCCGTATCGCGGCGGGTTCAGTCCGGCGTGCTTCAAGCTCCGAGATCCTGAAGACCGTGCAGCAGCAACCGTCCAGACCCGGACACCTCCGGAATCACCGAGGCGCGGCCAGCCAGCCATTCTACCGCTGACGTCAGGGCATGACGTCAGACTGCGCCAGGTGGGCGTTTGTGGCGCCCTTATTAGATCCGCCCGATGAATGGCGCGCGGCGCGTTTGGCTCTCAACGGTGTGCATCGATCAGAAGCCGGATAGGCACGCGTTGAGACAGTGACGCGGTGAAACATCGAGACTTTGAAGGGCCTGCTGATGGCACTTGACCACCTCAGACGGGCCACGATGACGGGAAACGTAAACATGACATCCGCTTAGCGAACGAGTTCAAGCTCTGGTGAGGAACACGTTCAGTTCAAAAGGCGGATTAAGAATAGATCTATCACGAAGAACCATGCGCGGAAATGAGTGGGAAGATCATTGGTGGCTAAGGAGGCAATGCGTGGCTCAAACACAGCTATGAGAATTACAGCTTCAGACATGTCGGCTGCTTTCCAAAATCCGCTCCCGTCTGCCCGATGTGGCCCAATCGTCACCGACCAGCTGGTCCACCGGCTGGCTCCGAGCCCGGCGCAGCGGCCGACAGGGCACTAAAGCGGAGGACGGTGGGGCCCCGACCCCGCCACGGCGGCCGACGGCAAGGAACTAAAGCGGAGAAGGGCAGGCGCGGCCGCTGCCTGTACCGTGGCTCCATACATACTGAGCAGGGGTATGCCAGGCTGGAACATGCAGGGCGGCTCAGAACAGCTGCAGTTCGGGCAGGCTGGAATCAGGGCAGTCTGGAGTCAGGGCAGGCACTGGAGTCAGGCACTGGAGTTGGAGCTGGGATGGAGCTGAGTCGGAGCTGGGTTGAAGCTGGGCTGGAACTGAGTTGGAGCTGGGCTGGAGCTGTGTTGGGACTGAGTTGGGCTGGGATGGATCCTGGCTAGAGATGGGCTGGAACTGGGCTGGAGCTGGGCTGGAGCTAGGTTGTAACTGAGCTGGAATTGTGCTAAAGCCGAGCTTAAGTCGCATTGTGGTTCAGCTGGAGCCAGGCTTGGTATGGGCTGGGGAGGACTGAAGCTGAGCTATATAATCGGACTGAAGCTACATCGCGTCGAAAAGGAGAAGGGGTTGAAGCGAGGCTGAGGGCATCCCGGAACTCTGTCAAAAATGAGCTAAAATCACGTGTCGACATTACCCTTCTGCAAAGGGAGCAAACACCTACGTGGCTCCGTCACAAAGTCGCTAACACCACTTTCTAACATACCGTTTAGGCCGTTCCGTTCCATTCAATGTCAAAGGCATAACACTCAATTTGGAAAAGTAAGGCGGACTTGTCCCTCCGACTCTCCTTTCTATGGCTGAGTCCATGGAGGAACTCAACATAAACGTTGGAGGGTCACGCTGTCGTTCAAGTTCCGTTCTCAATAACATAACAGCACTGCATTGTGGTGTCATTGTGGTGCCAGTCCACGCTTAGGACTGCTTTCCCACCAGCAAAACACGAGGAATGCTGAACATTCCTGGTGCTGACAGATCAGCTGCAGCGTGCCGTCTGTGCTTAGCGACTACCTTATCGGCGTGTGCGTCTGGCCTGTCTCGCGCGTGCGCTGGCTGACCCGGCTGACAGCGCTCCGCGGCTGGCTGTGCGTGTGCCGAGTGCTGGCGACACGCGACTGGTCAGTGGGCGGTCCCCAGAGCGGCGGCGCGCTGCCAGCCCCAGTTCAAAGACACCGCAGCGTCGGCCCCGGCTGACAGAGCCCTGGCTGCCCTCCACTCGGGCCGAGACCTCGCGGTCGGCACCGCTTCGGCACAACTGACAGCTCAGGGCCGGCCCAGCTGGCGGCCGGAGGCCAGCCCAGCAGCGAGGGCTGAGGATCGGCCCACCTGAAGGCCGAGGGCCGGCACAGCAGCCCCGTAGCGAGGGCCGAAGGCCAGCCCAGCTGACGGGCGAGGGCCCAGCCCAGCTGCTAGCTCAGGTGGCCGGCCCAGCAGCGGGCCGACGGGAAGCCAGGACAAAGCTCGGGGTCGGCCTTAACACCAGTTACCAGTCGGTACGTCCAGAGCGAAGCGTGACAGCTGACGTCAACTGACGCCAGTTGACACCGCGGCTGCCCCGTCGGTGGCCCCACGCCGCGTGCTGCCGCCGCCGCCAGCCCGGCTCCTCCCCCATCCCCACACGTGCCCCACACAGGGCGCGGCCGCGGCCGTCCGACGCCCCGGCGCCAGTCCCACGGTTCCGGAGCGCGACTCGGCGCCGTCCACGTCTGCCAGATCGGTCCAAGTTTGGCCGGCCGTCCCACGTCCTGGGCGGCGACACGCGAGCGTTTCGTCCGCGGCATGCCCGCAGGTCACAGCCGGCAGCCAGAGCAAACAGGCGCCGGTGCCAGCGTCCCACGGCTGCCAGCGGCGCCGGCGGCTACTCAGTGGAACACCCGCTCCGATCAGCAGAAGCAGCTGCCGCACTGCACGGCCGTGAGGACAGGAATGCCACGGCTCTCCCTCCCCATGGCAAGCGCGGTTAGTCCGCACCGTGTGTTTCAAGAAACGGACTTACGGGGTCGCTGGGGAGAGGCTGCGGCCACATATATCGCCGGCTCGGAAGACGGCATCAGTGGCAGTCACCAGCGGGGGAAGATGGATTGGGGCCGCTTCCTGAGCTCGGAGCGAGCACATGCAAGGATGATAGATGTTGCCGTTGTTCGCTCGGTCACCGAGATGCCTGGGCTGTCAGCGCTGGTGGCGGTGGTACAACACAGACGTGCAAGTAGTCAGGACGACGGCCTCCGGGGAAGAAGGAAAGATGTATCTGTGCTCCTTAACAGACAGTGACATCTAACATGCTTATCAAGGGAGCCCTGAAAGAACTGGTATAAATGGTGCGCACGCATCGTGATGAAAGATTCGTTCGCATAGTTTGTTTGGCAACTGTTTTCTTGATGGTTCATCTCAACGGAAAGCACGGCCAAACAAACGACGGCCAAACGCAGAGATTCCGATGCATGCTGATTGTTACATATCATTCGAAAAAGCAGTGAATTAAATAGTCTTTCGCTTCGAAACTTCCTTCTTCAACTTGTGATTCGCTATGCAAGCATATAAGCCTACGGTAAAACCGGACTCCGACGCAAAAGGTTAAAACCCCAATGTTGCAATATGCAGCCTTTCCATCAGTTACAGGACATCCACTGCCAGCGTAATCCAATAAGCAGCGCA